GTTCCAGGATAGTTTTATCATCATAATTGATTAGTGGCAACAGAGAAAAAAAATCCAGGAGTAACAGGAAGAAATGATTCCAGTGAATCCATTGACTCAGTGGTAGCATTGATCTACTTCTGGGAATTATTTATAGGAGAAGATTCATAGTTAATAATATTAGTTTGGACTTTGGGAGCAGTTTATCAGTGGCTCTTAAAGGCCTTCGGTAAAAATTAATCAGGTAGAGAAATAAGTTAGACAGCCTGGTTTTGGGAGAGGGAAGAAAATGGGATTCCTGGCATAACTGTCTACCCCAGAACGAGAGACAATGCAAGGGGTAACTTGGGGTGCTTGGATATGTCTAAGCACAGGAGTGGGAGGATGGATTTCCAGCTGCTCTATCAGCCAATGCAGCTGGGGAAAGGTCCTTGGAAAAGTCCCCACTAAACCCCTCGTTCAGATGAAGCCAAGGTGTCCACAGGACAGTCACCTGAGCCAGATCCAGCAGGGAGAACTGCCCGGGGACAGCACTAACCCTTCTCCTCCCCTGCCTCTCCTCCCCGGTTTGTTTTTGGTTTTAGCTTAATTGATCTGTATCCTGCAATCCTACCCGCAGGAGGAATGACACATCTGAAAAAAGCAGGAGGATTTGTTTAAAGTGAGCTGCTTGGGTTTTTCAGTGTGTGTATATATAGAATTGCCTGGAAGTAGTAAATAGAATTAAACACTGTGGTTCTGAAAAACAAAATTCTCAGGGCTGTCTGTTGATTTCAAAGCTGATGAAAACAAAGCAGGCTTTGAAATCCTTTCTCGCAGAGCTTCCCCCTCCTCCCTTATCATATGAAAGATGGGCTTGATAATATTTGGGTTTTATTCTTCTTTTGAAACAGTTGAAAAAAATGCTGTTTTCTCAGCTAAGATGAAAATCCTCATCTTTTTAATAAGGTCAGTGTAACATCTTCATTAGCAAATGCTGAAATGAAAATGCAGATCTGGAACTTGACCAGGAAAAACTTCAGTGTCTACCCAAAATAGAGAGACACATTTGCAACAGGTGTGAACCAGTGCTGCTTCCCTAAAATTACTGGTTCTGGGATGACCTATTCCAGTTTAGGGACTGGCTGCCGTGTTTTTAAGTAACTCCCAAATTGGAGTGGTTTTTGTTTGTTTTCCTGGGACAGTGCCTGGCCCTGGGCTCTGTGAATGCCGGGGGTGGGCAGGGCTTGGTGTTGGGTTTGGTGGTTTCCTTTCAGATGATGGAGCAGCTGGAAACAAAGGGAGGGACTGGTGACCTGGGAAGAGGTGTAGAGCTCACCATGAGGAAATGCAGGTGGATGTTAGTGGACAGACAGCCTAAAATAAAACAAAAACAAAAATATCCAACCCACCAAGTCAGTGGTAGGTTGAAATTTTGTTGAAATTTTGTCTACAAACGTCACAATGAAGCTGTTGGGTGCTGAACACTTTAAAGGCTGTCCTCCACTATGAATTCCAGACACACATAGAAAGTCTTTGCCCAGCTTTCTGGAGATGTGGATGGTATCTGGACAGCCCTGACCCTCCTGACTGGTCTGAAACCACGGACTCCAAAGACATCTCTTTCCTCCTCTGTGCTGTATCTTCTCCAAGACAGGGTTGCCACAGCCCATCTCCCAGTGTCTCTGCACTGTGCTACAGACACTGGGGTAACACCAAAGGCACAGATGCATCAGGAAGACCAATTGTTTGCAATGACATATTCTGCATTTTAAATGATCTTTGATTTTCTGGCAGCTCCCCAGTGTATCACCCCCTGTAATTCTGTCTAAATAATGTTTGTCAGGTGAAGCCACAGCTGGGCAGCAGACAGACCAGTCCACAGAGCACTGCTCCTCATCAGGGACTTCCAAAACCCACCGGCCGATCAATCTCCACAGCTCACTGAATGATAGATGGAACATAATATAGATCATTATTTCTTCCCTATGTGTGAAAATGAATTATTCAGTAAAGATTTAGATCCTTTTTTATTATGACATTGAATTTATAGAGCATACAAAACATAAATGCAGATTTCTCCAGCACCAGAGAGATGAACTTGTTCTCCAGGCAGTGCAAGGTGGATGCAGCCCCTTGGCATCGCTGCACGGCAGAGATGGGATGTCCAAACAGCCAGAGCACTGGGCTGCAGCCTGGGCAAATAGGACCTGCTCTGAGCTCAGCTGCCAGCCTGCTTACCTGCCATAGCATTCCCAACCCCCCCTAGCTGGTTTAGGAGCCCAAGATCTCTTCTCTGTTTCAGAAATCAGGCTCTCAGGAGCCATGTGTCTTCATGGAGATTTGGGATCTCACGTCACCTTGACCTTAAAAATGCTGATCTCAACAAACTCTGCATCTCTGTGTCTGATCTGAAACAAGAGTTGCGAAAATTGAAAGGCAATTGGTGAGGCTGAAACCTGCTAATGAGAGGCGGTGCTATGTGAGTACATGGACAGACGTGGTCTGTCTACAGAGCCACTGTGGAGAATTTGGGCTGGTTTGTACCAGTAGCAGTAACTTTCCTTGTTATTGGAATAAATGCTCCAACTTTTAATTGTGCAGCCTGGGAGAACATTACCCCTGACCGGCAGTTACAGATGTCAGCTTCGCAGTTCATTAGCTGCTTCCCCAAGTCCACTGGGAGTTTGGATTTTTAGCACAAACATTAGAGGTCGGAGAGAAGGAGAGCAGAGGGCAAGCCTGCAAACTCTCCTTGGGGTGGAGAAAAGTCTGGGATCAGGGCTGGGAACAGCACCTTTGGGGATGGGTGCTGTCACGTGCCAGCCACGGAGCAGGACAGCGGGTCCTAGTTTGTCACCCGTGGGCACGGGTGCTGAACATGCCCCTGGAGCATCCCTGGTGCCGTGGTGCAGCTTTTGCTCCCTGAGAGCAGTGGGTGCAGAGAAACAGCAAACCTGGGCACCTGCCTGGACCCAGCCTTGGCTCTGGGAGAGGCCAGAAAGAGAACGTACCGATAAAGTCTTCCCAAAGCCATTTGAGCTGTAATGTTCGCTGATTGAAGGGATAACAGCGGAGATTTCCTTTTAATGTATAGAAATCCTAATTTCTTTGTGAGCCATAAGCAGCTGCACTGAAGTTCCCTCTGTCCATCAGCAATATCTGTCTTGTGCCTGTTCATTCTGGAACCCCTTTAAAATTCTGCACTGCAGCCAGAGAGATTAAAGGGCAGGAACTGCACTCCTGACTAGTAATTTCCTGGTGATTATTACGAGAAATAGCTAAAATCTAAAGGAAGCTCAGAGGGGTGAGAAAAAGAGTGCTCTTTAATCCCCCCCCTCCATTTCCTTTGCAGGTTGGTGCCGCTCACCTCGCTGGGGCAGGGCCAGGTCAGCCCCTCTCCTGGCTGGAGCAGTTGGGGTGTTCCCTGCCCGCTTGGAGGAGTGGAGCTTGCCCTGCTGCTGAACCAGAGTTCAGCACTTCATGGCAAAGCAAACCCGGTAAAGGGGATTATGTCCCATTTTACAGGGGGCGGCAGCAGAGCATGAAGGGGAGCATTTCTCCATTGGGCCTGACCTCCCAGCCCTGCACACATCTGCTCATTCCCACCTCGTTCATTAGTCCTTGCTGGAAAGAACATGCACATGCTGCCCCCACCCCCCAATAAAAATATAATCCCTGAGCTGGAAATAGTTGGCCACCCCAAAATAGCTCTTGCAGGCACGGCTGCTGAGCCAGGAGGGCTTCGGTTGGGAGGCACTCGGTCCCGGGTGAGCGGAGGTACTCAAAATCCATGGATGTTTCTGAAAATGTAGGGCAATGTGGCTCAGTCTCTTTGGGTGGGCGGCCCTCGCTCCTGCGCAGTGCTCCTTAATTTATGGGAAGCTGATTGCTTTTACCTTAGATAATTACACCAATACTTGGCAGCCCCATCACCGCTCTCGCCCCACACTGCAAAGTGTCGGTCAAATGCTGAGTGTGAAATGCAGGAGCTGAGGGCACATGCTGGCACCTGGCTGGGCGGTGCCTGCCGGGGCCCAAGGTGTGCTGTTGCCAGAGCCTTGGGAAGGGAGGCACCAGGATGCAGGGACATAGGGAAACAGGGGCACAGGGTTGCTGGAGCCCTGGAATGTAGGGGCTCTGGGATGTGGAGGAGCCCCAGGACATGGAGGCACAGGGATGCTGGAGTCCCATGATGCAGGGGCACTGGCATGCAGTGGCCCTGGGTGTGGGGACATGGAGACATGGGGGCACCAGGCACCAGCCGCTCTCTCTGAGCAGCCCCACAAAGCTGTAGGTTAAACTTGGGGTGTTCGCAGGGTGCGGGTGCAGCGGGTCTGACACCCATGCTTGGTGACGGGATAAACGACACCTCTCAGTAATGCCCGAATTTCTCCCGAGCACCTAAAACTTAATTTCCCTTTCCTGGACACCCAACGGGCGCTTCCCAACAGCCCCTGGAATTATTCTCCAACGACCCGCCTGGGGAGCAGAGCAGCGGGGGACGGCGCGGAGGCGCCACTTTCAGTGCGAGAGCCACCCCTCGGTACAGCCCGGGGGTCGCGGGGACCCGGAGCAGCCCCAGGGGAGCCGGGCGGGGTGTGAGGGAGCGGAGCAGCCCCAGGGAGCCGGGCGGGCTGTGAGGGAGCGGAGCAGCCCCAGGGAGCCGGGCGGGCTGTGAGGGACCGGCGGGTCCCGGACACGCGCGGGGCGCAGGCGGGCGGCGCGCGGAGAGGGCGCGGTGACGTCACGGTGACGTCACACAGGGCCACGCGCCGGCGGCGGCCCCGCCCCCGGGAGGGAGGAGGGAGGGGAGGGAGGGGCGGGATGGAGGGAGGGGAGGGGAGGATGGCGGCGGGGGGGGAGGGAGCGCCGGCGCGGCGCTGAGCTAAGCCGATCCCACGTGTGACGGATCTGGCTGCTGCCCCAGCGCCTCTCCAGTGAGATCCTCCGGTAGCGGAGGGAGGAGGAGGAGGAGGAGGAGGAGGAGGGGGGAAGGGAAAAAAGGGGCACAGCAAGCGGAGCGAACCGAGCCGGAGCCGGGCCGGGGGGGGCGGGTTGGGCGGGGGGGGGGGGTTCTCTCAGGGGCTCTCGCTCGGCGCGGCCATGGAGGCGGACGGGAGCCAGGCTACCTCGGGGAGCCCCGGAGAGGCGCAGCACGACCCCGGGTAAGTCGGCGGGGCGGCGGGGGCGCGGAGCGGGGCGGCGGGGGGCGGCGAGGCGGGCCCGCCCCGCTCCGCTCCGCGCCCCTCCGCCCCGCCGGGAGCTGCCCCGTCAAAATGGCCGATCCCGCACCGGCGCTCAACTCCGCTCTGCTCTCTCCCTCCAGCAAGATGTTCATCGGCGGCCTCAGCTGGCAAACCTCACCAGGTAACCCCCCCGCCGCCCCTTCCCCACACGCGTCCCGCCCCGCGTGGGCCGCGTCCCGCCGCGCCGGGCCCTGCCCGCGCCCCCCAGCCCTGACCCTCCTCTCCCTCTCTGCTCTTTCTCCGCAGACAGCCTTAGAGACTATTTTAGCAAATTCGGAGAAATTAGGGAGTGTATGGTCATGCGGGACCCCACCACCAAGCGCTCCAGGTAAAACCGCCGCCCACCCCGCTCGGGTTGACAAACTTCGCGAGTTGCCGTCGGGGCGGGTGGACCCGCACCCCCCAAAATCCCACCCCGAAATCCCAGCCCCGCATCCCACCCCGCGCGCGGGGCGCTGCGGGAGGGCTCTCCCCGCCCGCATCCCTCCGGTCCGGAGCAGGAAACAAAGCGGCCGGTGGAGCCGGAGCGGGGCTGGGGGTCGCGGCCGCCGCCGCCCGCCCGCCCCCCGCACCCGGGGGCTTCGGGGAAGGGAGCGGGGGGGACGGCACGGCGGTTTATTTTTGTGACTTCTCCCCTCGCCTCTAATTCTCATCACCTCCCCCCCCATCCCCTCGCTCTTTGTCTCTCGCAGAGGCTTCGGGTTCGTTACGTTCGCGGATCCGGCGAGTGTAGACAAAGTCCTGGCTCAGCCGCACCACGAGCTGGACTCCAAGACGGTAGGTCGTGGTGGGGCTCCCGCCCGCCCTTCCCGGCACGGCGGGGACGCGACCCGGGCGCACCGAGCCCCGCTCGGGCCGCTGTCAGGCTGTCATTGAACCGGGACCTTGCATGGCTGGGGGTTTTCCTTTCTATTTTTTTCTGGGCTCTGCCTTTAACTTGCAAAAAGCGGCAACTTTCTTTTTTTTTTTTTCCTAAGCCCGAATTCCCCCATACCGACCGCTGGCTCCTCCCCCGGCCTTATATTTTATTGAGCGGTGACATTGAAAAAGCTGAGGAGTAAAATCCAACTTTTTTTTTCGGTGTTGGGCTGCAGAATGCTTTCTGCAGGGAACTTTGTGCTTCTTTTGATTGATTATTTATATATTGGTGCACGCGTTTCAAGGTGGGAGTGACTTACTGTCAAACCGTGAAAGCTGCTGCTCGTGTCATTTCCCAAAGTCATTTTTTGGAGAGGTCCCCTCACCTGTGATGGCAGGGCCCTTACGAAACGCACGCGTTCATTTATGGGAGGCTCTGCGAGAGGTGGAGAGTGGCTGTGGTAGAGAAGCACGAGTCCTAATGTGTTGTTGTTTCTCCAGAGCTTTTTGCTGTGCTCAATCTTCAGTGCATAACATAAGGAAAAAAATGCTCATGGGATTCAGCTGATCTATTTTTTTTTTTTTTAATGAACATCCCATTTGCTTAAAAAAAAAAAATAAAAGAAATTCCACCCCTGAGTTTCCCCTTGCCCCAGTACGGCATTTTCGGTATTGGGTCAAACAAAAGGTATCCAGAGAGTGCAGCTCCGGGCCCTGTTTTCTCCCTGTGATCAAGGCCATGCAAAAAGATGAAGTTTTGTGCCTCCTACTTTGTTGTAGTTTCAGCCTCGGCAGACCTGGGAGGGGAGGGGGGAAGGACACTGGTAGAGGTCATCACTGCTCTGGTGCTGCTGGCTCCGGAGGGGGTTGTGTTTTGGGAAGGGAAGGCTCGTGCTGGTGGAACTGCAGAGCTTCTGCTGGACGGATCGAGCGTGTTCCTTACTGTAACTGGGTTTTATAGTCTGTGTTCTGGGGCTTAAAGGTTTTATTTTAACCTGAGCGTGGTGTTAGGAGGAATCCTGTCTCGGTGCTGCAACATCTCGTGGGTGCCTGTGTGCAAGATTATAGTTAAACGAAGAATAGGAGGAGCAGGGAGCAAACATGAGTGCATGATTTTTAAAAAATGCAATTTATATGGAAACAAAAAGCCCAAAGCTCTCATAGAAGCAGGTGGAATCTAGTGTTTTAATTCGACCTACAGATTCTGCTGGGCTTGTCTGAGCACGAAGCCCATGCTTTCACATGCCTTAATAATTTGATTTTAGGTTTAATCAGATATGGTAAGATAACTGATTCAACCGTGCTCCTGAGATTAAACTCACCAGACTTTTCATGTACAGCTATATGTTCTATGTGTTTTTAAAGATAAATTTAGATAAGAAGAACAAAGGCAAACAGTATCTTCAACGAGGGTTTTTTAAAAAAATAAATCATGAGAGGACACCCTGTCATATTTCTGACTATAATTAGGTCCTCCCCCAGCTTTTTTCCTGTATCTTAGTCTAGTCCCTGCAATGTATTAATTTGCTTTTCTCTGGGGGAGGGGCAAAGAGCTTCACCAGGACAAATTCCCTCAGTTTGGTTGTGTGATAATGATTGAATCAATCCAAATATGAAATTGCCCTTAGAATCAGAAACAAACACAGAGCCAGGCAGGTCCTTTCAGGCGTGTATTTGTAGAGTATTGTAGTAACTGTTGTGCAGTATTACAAGGCATTTGACTCTGTTTCAACGTTCAGCACAGGAGGCAGATCGGTTGGGTATTGGCATGGAAACGTCGCTCTTGTTTACAGTTACGTTTAAAGCTTTGTTTAGGTAATGGCCATTCATATCAGAAATAGTATTATAGTCATTTCCTAGAGGACTTGTAGATACAGTAAGTAGAATTGTACCTAACTAACTAATTTTTTTTTGGTAGAACTTTGTTTTTTGTTTTCTTTTTTTTTTTTTTAATTTTTTTTCTTTTTGGTTGTTGTTTAAATAGTTGACAGGGTTATGCAAAAGGTATGGATTTGCCACATCCATTGCTAGTATTTGTCTTCAAAGGCTGATGGTGTTTATTTGAAAGGTTTGGGGAAGGAAAATTCAGTTCTTTAAGAAAATCTGTCGCTGTGGTGCAAAGGACTTCATGCTCTTTGAACTGACCTTCAAAATGAATGTGTTGCTTTGGAGTTTAATGGCTCTCCCTGCTTTTAACCAAAGGGACTTTGCAGTGATGTCCTTCTGGTGGGTCTGTTATACTTTGGTGAGAAAACCTGTGCTCTTGAAACAAACAGGAATGTGCAAATTTGCCTTCACCTTTGGGTACCGCTGTGGAAAATCCGTACCTGTTGTATTTCCCCAGTAGACAAATGCCTAGTCAGTGCTGAATATATTTGTAGATAATGTTAATCTCTATGAAAAGGTTAGCTTTCTAGATAAATAATTTTACTTTTTATGCTTTTTGAACAATAAAGTGGCATGTAATCACTCATTTCTCAGGTGTGTCTTAAAACAGATGCTACATTTGTATCTGATGGAGACAAATCAGTTTATCAGTTGCACATGAAATGTTTGCGATATTTCCCATTTGGACAAATTAATTGAGTAAAGCTGCTTTTTAGGAGAGGCCCATGGTTATTTAGCAGTGCCAGGAATATTTATCACCACAGAATAACAGTACCAAAGGGAAATGTCTCCCTTTTCCTTGTCAAGGTTAGCTCGAGGGGAGAAAACCCAACAAAAGCCAAACCCAAACTCTGAAAGAAAGCCTCTATTTCTGAATATGCTTAACATGTTAGTGTCATCAGTTAGTTACAGAGACAACACTGAAAGCAGTCCCAGCTTGCACAGTTCAGGTAGGATTTAGTACTTCCAAACATCCTTTCCAGATTCTGTAGAACATGTCTGCATGCAGGTGCTGCTGAGAGCTGGAGGTGAAACCAGCAGCACAGAGGCATTTTATTGCAGTTTAAACTGGGCAGTTGTTAACGTGTTTATTTACATCCAGCCATGCATCTGTAGTGGTGACTTTTTGGTTTTAAGTCATTTTGTCATGGGAGAGAGGAGTCCCTTTTTAGAGATGACCCGTGTGGAAGTTGTGTGTAAAAGTGCAGAAGGAGCGTTTGGGAATTGCAGAGTGGGCACACTCTGTAATGGATGCAGCACAGTGGGGGTCAACTCCATCTTAAGGGAATGTGGGGTAGAGCAAGGATTTTTTTTTTCCCCCCCTTCCTTTTTGTGTCTGTGGTGACGTAACTCCTTCATGGAAAACCTTTTCTAGGAACTTGTTTTCTTCTGGTGTAAGTGCCTGTATGATTCACATACACAAAACCTGCAGGTGTTTGTGTCTTCCCCTGCTCTCTTCCCACCTTATCCCATAAATGCCCCTTTTTGGTTCTCCATTACTCACTTATATTCTTGGAGAGCTGGCAAACCAGATCAATTTGGCATGTAGTTACGAAGGAGCATCTAGCCCTTCTGATACTTTAGTTTTAATAATTGAAACGTGAATAATTTGACTTCGGTTTTGACTTTCCTTTTTAGTGTGGTGTTGCTCATCAGTTGACAAAACAGAGCAGAAAAAGAACCTGTAACCCCAAACCCAACCGTGGGAAGGTGCAGGTGTCAAACCCAGCAAGTTAAGATGTTGGTCAGGAATGCTGGCCCTCTTCCTGTGCAACCTCCAGAGCATGCAGATAATCCCTAACACGCAGTTTTGGTGGTAGAGGCAGCACCCAGAGACTAATCCAGAGCTCCCCGAGCACCAGTGGGGATCGTTTCCCAGAAGATGATAGAGGTGTGCAGAAGAGATGTTTTCTTCCTCTCTTCCCATCTCCTTCCCCAGACAAACCCAGTCTGTGACCCATCAGTTCCAGAGTGGTTCTGGATGACCCGGTGTGCTGAACTACAAGCCTGAGAAATGAGGGATTAATAATTCAATGATTTAAAACCAAAATACTCTGCAATGACAACCAAAGCTATCTTGTTGATTTCCCCTTTCTTTTTCCTCAGATTGACCCTAAAGTTGCGTTTCCCCGACGAGCACAGCCCAAGGTAAGTAGGAGGATCGATAATAGGATTTTAGGCACACAGAGAGTCATTGTTGCCAGGCAGTTCGGGTTTCAGCCGGGGAATTGGCAATGAAAGCTTTTAAAGCCGGAGTGCTGGCGTCTGAGGGGATCAGCGAGTGGCTGTGGCACAGGGGAGAGCTCTGTGCTGCCGTGTCTGACCGTGTCCGTGCAGGGTGGTCGGTGCGGCCGAAGGGCAGAGCCGCCCCCGGATCCGTCGGGATTCGCGGCCGCAGCCCCGCGTCCGTGGGGCTGTTCCACACAGCGTGTTCTGCAGGGTGTTTGTGGAGAGTGTTTGGATTAAGTACAGACTTCAGCCTTGTTTTGAGCTGAGCTTTCAGTTCTGTGGTTGTAATGGTTGTAGTGGATGGGAATATATCTCTGCCTTCATTGTTTGCGAATTTTCTTTTGTATAACTTGAG